TTTATTTGTTGCCTTTGAGAGTTTCGAACGACAGAATGGATGAATTGATCAATGTGACACATATTTCTATGTGACAAGTTTTCTTATATGATTTACGACCAAACGTCATGACAAGTGCAATTGCACTACACAAGTGCAAGGAAAATATATAGAGCGGAAAATTTAATTTTCTAGTAAACAAAGAAAATTGTATTACTAACAGTATATTTATTTAACATGACCGTTAGAATAATTGATTTTTAAAAATTTTCAGTTAAATGAATAAACAGTAATTTACTAATCTCTCAGAAGCTAGTTTTTGTCAGAAAATCATATTTACTACTTTTACATTTTTTGACGTGTTAAGTCATTTTAGATCGTTTGACACCGAAATGGGAAAAATTATGTATGCCTCGTTAGTTCATGTTTATGTATGTGACCCAAAATTTCAATTTTGACTAATATTTTTTTTCAAAAATTAAACAGCCGTTTGATGAACGCGATAGAGGCCAACATAGATCTGTTTTTCGCGACGATCGTCCGAGCCATTTCTTTGGAATTTTCAGAAAAATGTACAAATCTGCATCCTCTTTATCGCAAAAAATCCTGAATCAATTTTAAAAATCCAGAAATTGTTTTAGTGATAATAATTGGGAATATTGTAGATTAGATTTTGGTAAAATTTTTAAGTTTTAATTGAAAGATTTGCACAAAACTTCCAAGCGATTACTAATATTTTAAGGTCCTACAGCAACTTGATATACTTATAAATTACTCATAAATTTTATACTCATAAAAATAAGTCAAGTATTTACATGTATCGAGAAAATGAAACTTTTCTTCGGGCAAAATGCCACATACATCTAGTTAACTTCCCGTAGGGTAAGTTATAGTTATATATTATTTTGCTTATCTTCACTTTTCAAAAGTTTTTGAACATTTTGGAATACCTTAAAAAATAATGGATGTATGTGTGTGTGTGTGTGTTCGGATACAAAATTTCGTCGACAATTTCGGAAACACGGATCAACCGATTTAGATAATTCAAAAAAAGTTCGGTTTCTATTAATAGGAAGATGTGCTGATAAGTTTTTGGCAAAGACAGGTCCAGCCGTTTTGAAGATACTGGACAAAAATGCAAAAAAACGCACTTCAGTTTTTGAGAGAACAGGGCGTCCGATTTGAATGATTCAAAAAATATTATATTTGTATTATGGAAATGAAAAACTGATTGATTTTAGAGATTTAATAAAAGTAGTAAAGAAAAACACTTGACTGTCAAAAATGCTCATTAGACATATGCACATCACATTATCAGATATTTTATCGAGATTTTAATAATAAGTACAAAGTTTGCAATTCTGATGAGTTCTATACCGACGTTTATTCGTTACATTACGACTTTCATTTTCATTTACAATCTCAAGTAAAATTTTGATATCATACTGCTTGATATTGAACTGGTTACGATTAAACACTAGACTAGTTTGTGCTCTCTACCATCACGCCACGACTGTCTCAGATTTCCAAACTATACTCATTCATATTAAAAACTATTTAATTATCTATAACACAATTTGCATAAAATTATTAAAGTGTCTTCATTCATAATTTAAGTTAAAAATGCAAAATGCATTTTTTTCATCGTCTTATAAGCCACCACTCATTCCATATCTTAATTACATGTAATTCGTTTTAACTGGGATCTTAAAATTATAATCTTATAATTTATAACTTAAATTAAGAATGATTAATTACCCCAAGCTCATCGTTATATTACTTATTACTTTTATAAAAAGGGCATAAAAATTGGATTTAAGAAATTAGATAAGTGATATTTTATGGGAGAAGTTTTAAAAGTGTTTGACGCGTCTAGACGATAGAAAAAGTGATGAAAATTATATGAATTCTATGTTTTAAAAAATGAAAGTGGAAATAATTAGATGGTTGTGTATGTTTTTATAAATCTGTGGTGAAGATGGAATTTTACTGAGCAAGAGCAGGGTTGCTTTTTATTCTAGAATTATTATGATTTTGTTATATAAGTAGTAAAGACACTGAATTTCTAATAAAATATGAAGTAATTGTATATTTGAATGGTTTTAGATTATGAGCCCAAATATTATCGCTATCTTACCCTTCTTTCTTGTTACTAAAAACTGCAAAAATACTATCTATCTTTTTTGCAAAGTAGAGATAAAGTTTTCTTGTAATAAAGTGTTTCAATAATTTTTTTTTCTACGATTTTTTTTTGATAGATACCATAGTCTTATAGATCATACTAAAATATTACATTACGTTTTTTTGGCATTTGTCAAAATTAAACCTTTCATCGACGTTTGCTCAAAAACGCTTGAACCGATTTCAGAAATTTAAAAGCCATTTGATGTATCTCAATAAGGACTATCGTTTGTGCGACGATTTGCCGAGACGTTTTTTTGTAATTTGGAAAAAAGTGTGAAACTTTTTGTCTACATTTAAGCTCATACTACCAAATCGATTTTAAAAAATCAAAAACTGTTCGAAAGATATTAGTTGGGAATGATACTGATTCGTTTTAGGTAAATCTACCGAGCCGTTTTTTTGTTATTAACTGTCGAAAAAAAATTTAAGCCGATTTTTATGGATTTTTTTTGGCGATATATATCATGGTCTTATAGAACTTACTGAAACATTACGGTTTTATGACAAGTTTAATTTTAAAAATTTATCAAAGTTTGAGAAATTGAGTAATTGTTGTGACGTTCGATAAAATTAAAGTTAGGCGATTTACTTGGTATAACGATAGAGTACTTGGTCTTAATGGACATACTAAACAATTAAAGTTCTACGGAAACTGGTTCAATTATAAAAAATATTGATTTTTGAAAATTTGCTTTTAGAAAATACTCCGAGTTAACTTGTTCGTTCGTTTTCAATTATGTGTAATAAATCCGCTCGGGATACTTTTATTCACTCATAAATTAATTTATTTTTTTATTGATTAAGTCAATTATTTACACATATCGGGAAGCTCGTGTAACTTGCCTCAAGGAAAAATGCCAATACCAACTAGTTATAGACAGAAGCAAAAAACTCTCTGTAAAATTTTCTGTAGTCAAATTATACAATGCCAACAACAGTCGTATGTCCAGTCAGAATGCCAAACCCGATATATATATATATATATATATATATATATATATATATATACATGTTTACACTCGTATGAACGTAAACATAAATTAAATTTACAAATAAATATATTATCAAATTATAATTCGTTTAGTATCTCCGTGTAAGCCCAAAGGATGCCCTGCGTTGGCAACCTAGTAGGAATGATTACGGTTTACAAGGATTTATGTCCCTGATAATTCGGTTTGAGACGCTCTGGGCCGAAAA